CAGCAGCAGTTGCAGCAGCAGCAAAACACTTTGGACTGGCCGACGGAGCTCCGCAGGTCGCTCGAACTGCAGCAGCAGCAACTGCAACAGCAACTGCAGCAGCAGCAGCACCAACAGCTTTTGCAGCCATCTTTTCAGCAGCAGGGACAGCTACAGCAGCAGCAGCAGGAACAAGACCAGTTTTTCAGTGAATGGACAAGCGATCTGCTGAAGGCTTTAGACCTTAAGGAGCTGCAGCGGCAGCAGCAACACTGCGGCCATCAACAAGTGCAGCAGCAGCAGCAGAAGCAGCAGCAAGAACTTGGAGTTTTCACGAACTACCGGCTTTCGGGGCAGGCCCGCGAGCAGCCAGCCGAGGAGGCAGGGATTGTTCCATTAAGTTTACTGCAGCCTCCAGCTGCAGCAGCAGCAGCAGCTGGTGCTGCTGCTGCTGCTGCGAACGGGGATGTAGGCAATTTTCTTAGAGAGAGCATTTTTGAGTCACCGGAAGGGAAGGCGCTGCAGCTGCAGCAGCAGCTGATGCTGCAGCCGTGGGACAGCAGCAGCCCGCGCATGCACAGACAAGACCTGCAGCAGCTGCAGCGACAGACACAGCAGCAACAGCAGCAACAGCGGCAGCTGCAGACTCTAGAAGAGCCTTTCCGGAAGCACGCGGCGCTGCAAAGGCTGCTGCATCTTTTCTTGTCGCAGCACGACGTCTCCACTCCAGCAGCAAGTCCCACAGCAGCAGGAAGCAGCAACAACAAACCCTGCAGCAGCAGCAAACCGCTAACAAGCAGCAGCTGCAGCAGCAGCAGCAAAAGCGGCAATGCCATATTCCCCCCCTTGTACCCGCCTGCAGCTTCAGGTGGACTGCAGCCTTCGTCCCTGCTTTTTACGGTGCAGAAGCACAAGCAGCAGCAGCAGCAACAGCAGCAGCAGCTGCTGCTGCAGCAGCAGGGAACGGAGATGTTTTGTGCCAAGACAACTCCGCTGGAGACAGTCAATGATAAGGGACTCCCTGCTGTTCCCGTGTCTCCTTTGTCTTTACCTGCAAATGAACAAGACCAATTTATTAACAGAAATAAATACATTTTAAACTTGCCTTTCCAGATTTCTGATGGGGGGCAGCAGGGCCTCTGGGGGGCTCTCGACACAACAGGTGGTGCGCCTCACGACCGCGCCTTGCAGCACGTGCAGCAGCAGCAGCAGCAGCAGCAGCAGCAGCAGCTGCAGCAAAGCCCGCAGGATCCTCTGCACCCGGCACAACAAGTGCTCAGCCGCCGCCAGCACGAGCTGCAGCAGCAGGAGCAGCAGCAGGAACAGCAGCAACAGATTGTTGCAGCTGCAAGTGGAGAAACTCGGGACACCCCACAGCAGCTGCAGCAGCAGCTGCAGCAACAAATGCAGCAGCAAATGCAGCAGCAACAGCAGCCCATCCCCGAGGGCTTTGTCCCGAGCACCCTGCTCGACAGCAGCTCAGGAGCAGCAGCAGCAGCAGCAGCAGCATCAGCAGCAGCAGCTGCCTCAGCTCCCGCTTCCGGTGCCCCAAGAGAACACCCGCAGCAGCAGCTGCTGCTGCGGGGCGCAGCATCGGCGCCTTGTGAGCTTCTTCACCCTCAGCAGCAGCAGCAGCAGCTCCCGAAGCAGCAGCAGCAGCAGCAACTGGGAACATCTCGATCTCCTTCCCCGAAGCAGCTGCTGCTGCGGGCCCTTTTGTCCCCGCAGTCGGAAGCCTTTGCCGAGGGAACTAGGGACTGCTTTGTGCCCCCTGCTGCTGCTGCTGCTGTGCAGCCGCTGCAGCAGCAGCAGCTGCAGCAGCGGCAGCAGCACGCGGAAGAAAGCGCCGCCAGCAAACTGGCAGAGACAGAAGAATGCGCGTCCACGCAAACCTCCCGGGGAAGCGACTACAGGTCTTAGTTGCAGCAGCAGCAGCAGCAGCAGCAGCAGCGGCCTGCGGTGCAGCAGCAGCACGAACTTTAGCAGCAGAGCAGCAGCGGCGGGAGCCGGTAACAACAGCAGCGAGAGCTGCTGCTGCCGCTTCTGCAGTGGCTGGAAGGGCAACAATAAAGTGCTGCTTGCTGCAGCAGCAGCAGCGGCGTCAGCATAAATGGTAGCAGCAGAAGCAGCTGCAGCTGCAGGTACACCCGTGCTCTTTGCTGCAGCAATAGCAGCAGCAGCGGAAGCAGCAACATGGGGGAGAGACGCAGCAGTCTCGTTGGAGTTTGGTTTCTCATGCTTGTTTGTCTCAGCAGCAGAGACGTAGCTCTTAGTGATGGGCCCTTTGCTGCCTGCGCTGCAGCAGCAGCAGCAGCAGCAGCAGCAGCAGCAGCAGCAGCGAGCCGCTGCTGGGCTCTAGCGCCGCCTCGCCGCCCTTTGTCTCGCGGGCGCGGCCTAGTGCCCCTGTGTTTGTTAAAGAAGCTGAGAGGCGCAGAGCGGAAGCAAAAAGAGAGGAGTGGCTGGCTGGGGCAGCAGCAGCAGCAGCTCCGGAGCAGCAGCAGCAGCGGCTCCGGAGCAGCAGCAGCAGCAGCTCTGGGGGTTTTTGTGGGTCTCGGGCGCAGCAGCTGCGCAGGGCTTTCGCCCCAGCCTCTTCGCAGCCTCTGGATTTATATCTTTTGCTTCTGGATTGAAATGAAAGTCTTTTTGCGCTCTTGCTTCCGGTGTCGAGCGAGCCCCCAGGCTTGCGGTGTATGTACACTTCACCCTTTCCGGCCCCGCCGCTGCGCTGCGCTGCAGCAGCAGCCAGGTGTACAGACACTCGCGGCGGCGGCCCCGCGCTGCCTCCGCCCCGCATGCGTTTCTCCCAGCCCTGCATGCATCTGTGCATGCGCGCATGCATGCGCGCATGCAGGGCTGCATGCACGCGTCCGCGCTGCAGCCGCCGCTGCAGGCGCGCGTGCATGCGCATGCATCCGCGCATGCATCCGCGCATGCATGCGCATGCATGCATGCATGCATGCGCATGCATGCGCATGCATGCGCATGCATGCGCATGCATGCAGGGCTGCATGCACGCGTCCGCGCTGCAGCCGCCGCTGCATGCGCGCGTGCATGCAGCCGTGCATGCGCCGCTCGCTGCATGCAAGCCCTGCGTGCCTGCCTGCATGCGCCGCTGCATGCATGCGCGCTCCTAGCCGCGCATGCATGCGAGCTGTTGCATGCGCGCATGCATGCGCATGCGTTGAGGCGCAGCAAAAGCCCCAAATTGGAAGGTGAAGTTCTTCTGCCCTTCTGGCCCATTCACATTTGCTGCAGGGACCCGTCCCTGCCCCGCGCCTTGGCAGCAGCAGCAGCAGCAGCTGCTGCTGCTGCCCAGCGCCGCGCTATTGTTACTGCTGCTGCTGCAGCCCACTGCCCTGCTGCTGCTGCTGCTGCTGCTGCTACAGCAGCAGCAGCGTGGCTGCAGAGAGGTACTTGTTCAAGCACCACCGAAATCTGTCTGTCTCAAGAGAGTTTCTTTGTTCATATTTCCGCCACTTGTCGAGTCTCACGCTGCTGCTGTTGCTGCTGCTGCTACTGCTGCTGCTACTGCTGCTGCTGCTGCTGCTGCTGTCATTTTCGCTGCAGCTGCTTCTCGCTGTCTCTGTGGGTGTCTCTTTTGTGTCTTTCGCTTTTCTTCCTGTATCCTTTGTCTCCTTTTTTCTGCCTCTTATTTTTCTCTCTTATCTCTGCTGCTGCTGCTGCTGCTGCTGCTGCTGCTGCTGCTTGTCCTTTCTGCTTTTGTGTCCTCAGTTTGCTGCTCCTTCCTGTCTCCTTCTGTGACTATTTATCTATTTGCTTTTTTATCTTTTGCTTCTTCTAGATAGCTGCAGAGAGATTTAGAGATATATAATTGACACAAAAAAGTTTGCTGCTTGTGTCTCTGTTTCTGTCTCTTTAGTCTAAATCCAGTCACTTTTGCTGCTGCTGCCGCTGCTGCTGCTGCTGCTGCTGCTGCGGCACGACGCCCAGGAGCAGAAGAAGACACAGGGACTCTCGCCGTTTTTCTCCCTCAGCCTGGCACGGAAAAAAACACACAAACTGCTGCTGCTGCTGTGGCTGTTGCTGCAGCTGCTGCAGCTGCTGCTGCTGCTGCTGCAGCAGCTGCTGCTGCTGAGGGCAAACACAGGCCGCAGTTGGCCGACACGAGTAACAGCAGCAGCAGCAGCAGCAGCCCATTCGCATGCCAGTGCCTCCCCAACAACAACAGGCATATAGAGGCAGAACAGCTGCAGCAGTAACAGCTGCAGCAGCAACAGCTGCAGCAGCAACAGCTGCAGCAGCAACAGCTGCAGCAGCAACAGCTGCAGCAGCGACAGCTGCAGCAGCAACAGCTGCAGCAGCGACAGCTGCAGCAGCAACAGCTGCAGCAGCAGCAGAGACGTCCCCAACACGAGCAGCAGCAGCACGAGCAGCAGCAGTACGGGCACTGACTGCAACAGCAGCGGAAGCACCATCAGCAGCAGCAGCCACAGCGAAAGAGCTGCAGCAGCAGCGAAAGCGCCTTCAGCAGCAGCAGCAACGGCGACGCAGCAGCAGCAGCAGCAGCAAATTGTTGTCTTACCCCGAGGCCAGCAAAAAAGCATTTGTTAATTACTTCTTTTCCTTTGCTTTTTATTTCTCTTTTTGCAATTTCTGCCACAGAAATGCAGCGGTTTGCTGTGTTCACTTTTGCTGCCAGACACACTGCGCCCTCCTGCAGCAGCAGCAGCAGCAGCAGCAGCAGCAGCAGCGGCAGCAGCAGTGTCGCTTGGGCTGACTTGAGCCTTTAAACTTTATTTTTAAAGAAAGGCAGCAGCAGGAGCAAAAGTGGCGAAAATGCATTTGCTGCTGGGGATGCTGCTGCTGCTGCTGCTGCTAATCCTTGTTGCTGCTGATGTGTGCTGCTGTAGGCAGCGCAGCAGCTAGTTCCTGCAGAAGCTGTTGCTGCAGCAGCAGGGCCATCCGCAGCAACAGCAGCAGCAGCAATAGCCGCAGCAGTAGCAAGATCCCTAGCAGCAGCAGCAGCAGGTGCCGCAGCAGCAGCAGCAAGAGCCGCGACGTCAGCAGCAGCAAGAGCCGCAGCAGCAGCAGCAGCAGCAGCAGCAAGAGCCGCAGCAGCAGCAGCAGCAGCAGCAGCAAGAGCCGCAGCAGCAGCAGCAGCAGCAACCCACCTGTCTCAGTGCGTTGATGGCCTTTTCTGCTGCCTTTCTCAGCCGGCCGCCGGAGCCGCGGTGCACCCAAATGTGGGGGCAAGGCAAAGACTGCAGCACTTGATCAACTGACTTGCTGCTGCTGCTGCTGCTGCTGCTGCTGCTGCTGCTGCTGTTTCTGCTGCTGCCGGGCACGCAGCAGGAGCCCGCTGAAAGTTCTCCTTCACTAGGGCCTTTATCCACCTCCATCTGGGGCTCTTCTGCTCAGGGGCTTTGCAGCAGCACGCATGTGCCTCGCGGCAGCAGCAGCAGCAGCAGCAGCAGCAGCAGCAGCAGCAGCAAGTGCACTCAAGAAGCAAATGGCCAGTAAGATGAGTAATTTCTCGGTTTTTCTTTCTTTTCTTCTTGATTTCTGCTGCTGAGGAGAATGGAGCTGCTGCAGCTGCCCCTTAAGACAGAATTTGATGCAAAATGCAAAAAGAAAACATTAAATGGTATTTATTCTTTTGCTGCTTCCCACAGCCTGCACACAAAGGCGAAGAAAGCAGGGAAGAGCTCGCGGTGGAGAGTGGGGCTGCATGCACCGGCCTCTGTGGCATTTACGGACTTGAAATGAAATAAATAATAAATTAAAACTTTAATATTCCATTTAAAATGGATTTGGCGAGGTCTTGAGGCCAGAATAATACTAGCAGGAGCAGCAACAGCAAGCGCAGCAGCTGCAGCTCTCCCAGTGGCTACTGCTGCTGCTGCTGCTGCTGCTGCTGCTGCTGCTAACAGGGCCGCCTTGTTTGTTTCATGGGGCCCGCTTGGGGGAAGATCTGTGCTGAGGACACACTGCTGAGGAATGGCTGGAATCCGTCCAGCAGCAGCAGCAGCAGCAGCAGCGACAGCGACGATTGCAGCGGCAGCAGCAGCAGCAGCAGCAGAACCAACAGCAGCAGAAGCAGCAGCAGAGGCAGCAGCAGCAGGAGGGCACGGAAGAAACTGCCTAATAAGGGCCCCTCCGGGGGCCCCTTAGCCTCTCGCCTGCGGGCAGCAGTACCATGGGGCCCCCCATTTTAGTCTTTTAATCTTTTCTTTCTTTTTATGAAAACAAATTCATTTTGCTGCTGCTGCTGCTTCTGCTGCTGCTGCTGCTACAGAAAGCCCTCTTAATGACGTCCTTAGGTCTTGGGGGTGTGCAAAGTCTGTCAGCAGCGCAGCTGCTGCTGCTGCTGCTGCTGCTGCTGCTGCTGCTGCACGCAGATAGCAGCTGCCTCTCCCTTGCTGCTGAGAAGGAACGGCGCTGCAGACCGCCCCAGGAGCATCATATAAGACTCAAGCAGCAGCAGCAGCAGCAGCAGCAGCAGCAGCAGAGGCGCCACAGGTCAGTGGCTGCTGGAGGCCTGCTGCGGTGTTGTAGCCTGCAGTGCCAGAAGCAGCAGCAGCAGCAGCAGCAGCAGCAAAAGCAGCAGCAGGTGCGAGTGCAGCCCCACCGGCCAAGGGAACACAAGGATGCAGCAGGTGCAGCATTTATAGGTTTAAGAGTTCCGCAGGCAGCTGCTGGTGCAGCAGCAGCAGCAGCAGCAGCAGCAGCAGCAGCAGCAGCAGCAGCAGCAGCCACTGCCGCTACAGCTGCTGGCCCATCGCCGAGGTGCAGCCATTCTGCTGCTGCTGCTGCGCGTATTGGCTTCACCGCCTCCCCAGCAGCAGCAGCAGCACCAGCTGCAGCAACGACAGCAGCAGCTACAGCAGCAGCAGCACGACACCCACCTCGTTTGCTTTGCAGCAACTCGGCCATCAACGGGAACAGCAGCAGGAGCAGCAGCAGCAGCTGCAGCAGCAGCAACAACAGGAGTTCCCTGCTCTGCAGCTCTGGTGATTATTTTAAGGGTTTTGCTTCTCTTTCATATCAGCATAGGCCATCAAGCCTCACGGCAGCAGCAGCAGCAGCGAGAGCAGCAGCAGCAGCGAGAGCAGCAGCAGCAGCAGCAGGGAAGGCAGCGGCAGCAAAAACTGCAGCAGGAAAAGCAGCAGCAGCAAAAGCAGCAGCAGCAAATCCCAAACTGAGAACGGCGCCACCCTCACGCAGCGCAGCAGAAGGAAATATCCTAAAGCCGAGGGCAGCAGCAGCAGCTCCTGCAGCAGGCCGTGCAGCAGCAACTGCAGCAGCAGCACCGCATGCAGCAGCAGCAGCAGCACGAGGAGCAGCAGCAGCAGCACGAGGAGCAGCAGCAGCAGCAACGGCAACTGGCGCAGCAAAAGCTGAAGCAGCCGGCGCGCGTGAAGCGGCTGCAGGAACACCCGCAGCAGCTGCAGCAGAAGCCGCAGCAACAGCAGAAGCAGCAGCAGCAGAAGCAGCAGCAGCAGCAGCAGCAGAAGCTGCAGCAGCAGTAGCAGCAGCAGAAGCCCCTCAAGCAGCAGCCTACGGAGCCCGCAGCTACCGCCTTGTGCTGCTGATGAGCGGCCAGCTGAGTGTAGTCGAGACTCAGTGCATAGTGAGGACTTACTACTTGCAGCTGCTGCGCGCAAAAGGTAATTGATTTAAATCTTTTAAAATAATTAATTTAATTTCATTTAAATAAATTAATTAATTATATTTAAAATAAAAACAAATCTACACACGTGCGCGCGACGGCGCTGCAGCCAGTGGCTCGCGACCCCTGCAGCCGCAGCTGCTGCTGCTGCTGCTGCTGCTGCTGTTTTATTTCTTTTGAGCTCTGGAATTTGGAGCGAATTTCATTTAATTTGTTTATTTATTTTTCATTTAATTAAATAAATGAAATAATAATTCGTTTAATTGGATTTCAAGAAATGCGAAATGCAGAACAGCAGATCAGCTTTTCAAGTTTTCTGAATTTCATGTTTTCTTTTATTTAACATTTTTAACTTCAATTAAAATTAAATAATTAATTCTTTGCATTTTTATTTTGCATTTCATATTTATTTGTTTTAATGTTGTTCTAAATAACAATTAAAACTTTTGCATTTTTGCAGATTTGAATTATTCATTTTTTATTTTTAAAAATAAAATTAAAAGAAGTTCAAATAAATGAAACGGAAGAGGAAAAGACCAATTAAAAAGTGAAAAAGAAAAGAAAATAAATTCAATGAATTCCATTTGTTTCGCTGCTGCTGCTGCTGCTGCTGCTGCTGCTGCTGCTGCTGCTGCTGCTGGTTTGCTGCAGCCAGCGGCGTGAGGGTTTACTACCGGGGCCTCCGGGGTTTGTCAACAGCAATAAAAGGAGAAGCAGCAACACACTTCGTGGAAATTCTCTGTCACCTTTTTCCTGCTGCTGTTCATCCTTTCAGAATGCGGCTGCAGCACGACGCCCACGTCCTCCGGTGCCCCCAAACCCTAAACCCTAAACCCTAAACCCTAAACCCTAAACCCTAAACCCTAAACGCCTTGCGGCGCTTCAGGCCACTCTTGAGATGCATGCAGCGCATGCAGGGCTGAAAGACTCTGCGTCACTTTTACTGCTCAGGATGTAGGCGGCAACTGCAGCAGCAGCAGCAGCTGCTGCTGCAGCAGCAGCAGCAGCAGCTGCAGCAGCAGCAGCAGCAGCAGCGGTGTGTGGCTTTGCGTGTGCGTCACAGGTTCATGTTTTTGAATTTAGAAAAGCAAAAGGGAGTGGATCTTGAGGCCCTATTAGCTGCTGAGGACTAGAGCAGCAGCAGTTCAAGACAAGCTGCATGTTTTGCTGCAGTGCAGCAGCAGCAGCAGCAGCAGCAGCAGCAGCAGTTGTGCATATTTAGTGCCACTTCTCGCGCTTTTTGTGTCTCGGGGATAAAAGTTCAAATTGCAAAAAGCTGTTGTCTTTTTGTTTCTTGTTTCCCTCCGAAGTCTCTTTCCTGAAGAATTCAATTTAATGATTTAATTCAATTAATTAATTAATTCCATTTAATCATTTAATTAAAATTAATTTATCCGCAAGAAACCGGCAGTGGAACTGAGCAGCAGGCGCAGCAGCAAACGCACCGGCATCACGAGCTGCTGCTGCTGCTGCAGCTGCTGCTGCAGCTGCTGCAGCTGCTGGCGCTGCAGCAGCAGCATGGGAGAAAATTCAGGCCCAGCAGCTGCCACGGCTGCCTCTGCAGCTGCTGCAGTTTTGTAAGTCCGCCCATAGCGTGTCAAGAAGGGGATTCTGCAGCAGCAAACAATAAATCTTTTTAATTTGTTCAACTTAGTTCGAGCAGCAGAGCAGCAGCAGCAGCAGCAGCAGCAGCAGCAGCAGCAGCAGCAGCAGCAGCAGCAGCAGCAGCAGCTGTCTACCTCGTCAGATAAGCGCCAATGGCAGACGGAGGGCCATGGGACAGGGAAGCCACCGTTTTCTGCTCAGCAGTTTGCCAGGGTTTGGGGTTTGGGGTTTAGGGTTTAGGGTTTAGGGTTTAGGGTTTAGGACTGACGGAAGACTGCACAAGGCGCCTCCACTCGTCCTCGAGGGCCTCCTTTTCTTGCCGAATCTGCGGGAGGTGTTAATGAAGAAATTGGAAATGATTTGAAAAACTAAAAAAGAAAAAAAAGAAATAAATAAAATAATGAAGTAAATAAAATAAATGAAAATAAATTCCTTTTTCGCTTTCTGATTTAATTGGCTGCAGCAAATTGTTTTGCTGCTCACCTTGGCGAGCTTTTGGTCTTGTTCGTCAATTTCTGAAAATTCAAATTGGCTCGTTTTCAAGTTTTCTTGAAGTGGAGTCTGGGGCGTCACCTTCTTGAATTGACTCTGTGTTGGGAAAAGAATCAATAAAAGACAAAAATAAACATTTAAAGTTTTAAATTTTATTTTATTAAAGTGAAATGATTCATTTTATTCAGAGAAAGCTGCGGCTGAGTGTCGATTTCAAGTTCTTGCCTTCGTACGGCCGGTGGAAAGGCCAGGGGAGGGTGTCGGCCGGCCTGGCCTTTTCGAGATGAATCGATCTGGAGGCGAAGTTGAGATTTGGAACTTCGCGAAGATTTTTAATTATGAATTCAATTTCGAAAAGTTGTACATCATTGGGCTTTGAGTTGTGCGCGCATCCTCGGCGTTGTCGGTGACGTAGGGCGTGCGCCCAACCAGTGACATGAGCAGGTTCTGAATCACCGCTCGAGGCGCTCTTGAACGAATTCCCATTGAAGTAATGGGTAAAAAGACGAAAAAACAAATTAAAAACACTAAAGATCGCGTCATTTGGTTCCATTTTGCGTTTTTTCTGCATTTTCGCGCAGCCGCTCGCAAACACCATTCAAGGGTTTCGGGTGTACGTGCAGCTCCGCGAGCAGTGCGCATTCTGCGAATTCAAATTCATGTTTCACTTTCGACATTTTCAACTTTTGCAAAATACCATTTCCAGCTCGTTTTAACTCCAATTCTTCACAAATAACTCCTCTCCCACAAACTGTTCTTCAGTTTCGTACAATGTTTGTGTGTTCTTGGGTAGAACACTCATCAGTCACAAGGAAAAAGGATGGAATTGAAGGCAAAAAGGCAAAGATGCAAAGTAAAGATGAAAAATTGTGAAATATAATTAAATTCAAAATTCACTCTAGTGCTTTTGAGTCAACCTCAACTCCCTAAACCCTGCCTGCACTTCTCTCCGCATTTAAGTTGCAATCAGCTTCGAGACTTAGGCTGAAAATAACTCACGAATTTATTTGTTTTCGAGTTTGACGCGGCAGCAACTGCAGCAGCAGCAACAGCAGCACCAACAACTGCAGCACCAACGACTGCAGCAGCAGCAAGTGCAGCAGCACCAATTGCAGCAGCCTCACCCTCTCCATTGTTGACAGGAGCTTCCTCCGATGCCTCGTCTAAACCCTAAACCCTGAGTGCTAAACCCTAAACCCTAAACCCTGAAGCGGACATCCTGGAGAAGGGCTTTACCGGGGGTCTTTTGCTGCTATTTTTGACTGTGGCTTCAATTCAAATTGAATGCCTAGTGAGCAGCAGCAGCAGCAGCAGCAGCAACAGCAGCAGCTGCTGCTGCAGATGCAAATGCAGCAGCAAAGCCCGCTTCGGAAATAAAAAAAGAATTAATGAGAAGTTCGCTTTCAAATGTGCGAATTAAAACTGCCCTTTCATTGCAGAAATGCATCATATATATAACAAAATTATATTACAATTAAAATCTTCATTCCGAAAGTTTCAACAAGCATTTGCTTGTTTTGCTGCTTCCTTTTGCTGCTGCTGCTGCTTTATTTGCTGCTGCCTCTTGCTGCTGCTGCTGCTGCTGCTGCTGCACTTCACTCCGGCACCAGCAGCTTTTCTATTTTGTGCGTCCAGCTGTCGTAGCGGTAGAACTTCCGGCTGTCCCCGAAGGAACAATCTGAAAAGAAAAAAGCCTCTAAGTGCATGCATGCATGCATGCATGCATGCATGCATGCATGCATGCATGCGTGCGTGCATGCATGCATGCATGCATGCACGCTGGGGCTGCATGCGCTCTTGCATGCGCGCATGCAATGGGCGTCCAGCGGCTGCCGGAGGGTCTCAGTGGCTTTTGGCCCAGCCCCAAACCCCAAACCCTAGGCCCCGAACCCCAAACCCTAAACCCTAAACCCTAAACCCTAAACCCTAAACCCTAGACTCGCCTGCGTTGCACACGATCATGTCGTCGGGGTGCTTCGGGTCCACTTTGGTGAAGGGGGGACAAGTAGTGTCGCACAAAAACAGCTGCAGCAAACGCATGCATGCATGCATGCATGCATGCATGCATGCATGAATGCATGCATGCATGCATGCTTGCCCAGGCCAACTCGCACCCCCCGCAAACGCATGCATAAGTGGCAGCTTCGCGCGGTGTACGTACACCCCACGCTGCTGCTAAAGCGACGCACACACGAGCGCAACCAGGCCAACTCGCATGCATGCATGCATGCATGTATGCATGCATGCATGCATGCATGCATGCATGCATGCATGTTGGCATGCATGCACACGCGCATGCATGCGTGGACCATGCGAGTATGAACGCGTGCACGCACGCAGGCAAAACGCACGCATGCGTGCAAACCTGCATGCATGCATGCACGCATGCATGCACGCATGCATGCACGCATGCATGCACGTACGCATGCATGCACGCATGCATGCATGCATGCATGCATTCATGCATGCGTGGGGGCTGACCAAGTTGGGAGTGGGGAAGAGGAGGAGGCTGCTGTCTTTGGGCTTGGCGAGGCGGTGGTCTGCGCGGCAGGGGCACAGGTGGGCTTGGCCGAGGATGGTGTTCAGTACCTGCGCAGCAGCAGCAGCAGCAGCAGCAGCAGCAGCAGCAGCAGCAGCAGCAGCAGCAGGGATTTCGACAGCAAAAAGCCCGCAGAAGACAAGCACGAGAAGCTGCAGCAAAGCTGCAAACCCCTAGAGGACCCCGGAGAGCCAACAGGGTCTGGGGTCTTCGGCGGCGAGGGTTTGGGGTTTCAGTTCGAGGGTTTAGGGTTTAGGAAAGGGTTTAGGGTTTGGGCGAGGGTTTATGGCCTGCGCTAGGGCGCGGGAAAGGCTGTGAGTGCTGCACTAGGGTTTAGGGTTTTCGTGCTGCACTAGGGTTTGGGGTTTGCGTGCTGCACTAGGGTTTAGGGTTTGAGCGCTTTCCTAGAGTTAAGGGTTTGCGTGCTGCACTAGGGTTTAAAGTTTAGGGTTTAGGCTTTGGGGATTTTAGGGTTTAAGCGTTCTGCACCAGGGTTTAGGGTTTGAGCGTTTTATTAGGGTTTAGGGTTCGCGTGCTGCAGTAGGGTTTAGGGTTTGCGTGGTGCACTGGGGTTTAGGGTTTGCGTGCTGCAGCAGGGTTTAGGGTTTGCGTGCTGCACAAGGGTTTAGGTTTTGAGCGCACCAGTAGGGCTAAGGGTTGGGCGCTGCAGTAGGGTTTAGGGCTTAGGGTTTAGGGTTTAGGGTTTAGGGTTTGCGGCTGCATGCACTGACAACTTTGTCCAGGTTTTGCTGAATGCTTTCGTTTTCATCAAAACCCCCCGTCAAAAAACACTCCGTGGAAAGAGCAGCATAAATGTCATGTCTGAAGAAAGTCATGAGGCAGCAGCCCTGGCGAATCCTGAGCAGCAGCAAACCAAACGCAAGCCCCCGCTGCTGCTGCTGCTGCTGCTGCTGCTGCTGCTGCTGCTGCTGCTGCTGCTGCTGCTGCTGTGCGGCGGTGGGGGCTCCGCAGCGGCCGCCGGGCTGCCGCTGCGGGCGCTTCAGCAAACGCAGCAGCAGCAGCAGCTGCAGCTGCAGCAGCTGCTGCTGCTGCGCTTACTGCTGCTGCTGCTGCTGCTGCTGCTGCTACTGCTGCAGTGCCTGTACCTGCAGGGGCTAGTGGAGAAGCAAATTCTTTCTTTTGCTCCTTTAAACTGCTGCTGCATGCGCTCGATGAAAGGCTGCGTGTACACCGGAGCTACTGGCAGCCGTGGCAGCGACTCTGCAGCAGCAGCAGCAGCAACAGCAGCAGCAGCAAACGCGGCACGTCAGAAGCTCATTGCGGGTCTTTTGACCCTGCAGCAGCAGCAGCAGCAACAGCAGCAGAAACAGCAGCGGGAGCAGCAGCTGGGGTGTACAGACACCTCGCGCGAAACATGGGTCTTCTGGGCCTGGCACGAAGACAAAGTAGCAGCCTGAGTTCCGCAGCAGCAGAAAGAAGAAACAAAAAGAATAAATAAATAAATAAATAAATAAATAATAAATAAATATATAAGTGGAATTAACAGAAAATAAGAAACAAAAAGATAAAAAAGATAAATAAAACGAATTAAATCCCAACTGGCAAAAGATTCCGCGCTGCTGCAGTGTCTGTCCAGCTGCTGCTTGAAGAAGCCGAGCTGAGCTGCATGCATGCAAAACTTTGGATTATTTAATTTATTTATTAAAATAAATAAATAAAATAAAGAATAAAGTTGCAAAAGACTGCAGCAGCAGCAGCAGCAGCAGCAGCAGTGCTGCTGCGCTGCGCACTTTCCCCCAGCGCCTTGAACTTGTTCACAATTAGGGTGTACAGACACCCCAAACCCTCGCCCAAGTCTTTTCCATTTTCTTTTTCTTCAAAATTCCCCAAAAAGACAAAACCCGCAGCAAGGGGTTCTCCGCTGTCTTCCGCCTCCGCAACAGCGCCTGCAAAACCCTAAACCCTAAACCCTAAACCCTAAACCCTTGGCCCCGAATTCCCAACCCCCGAGCCCAAACCCTTACCCCTAAACCCTAAACCCTAAACCCTCAAGGGGAGCCCAGAGAATTCGCCGAAGGGCCATTTGTAGCTGAAACTCAATTGCAAGTTCCTTGCTGTTGTCTCTACCCTCTTCGCCAAACCCCAAACCCCAAACCCTAAACCCTAAACCCTAAACCCTAAACCCTAAATTCAGACCTGCGAAGATTGCCTCGAGGAGCTTGAGGTCTTTGGGGTTTGTGAATTGTATTTGGCTGATGATGTACCACTGCGTGCTGCTGGGTTTATTTTCAGCAGCAGCAGCAGCAGCAGCTGCTGCTGCTGCTGCTGCTGCTGCGGGGCTGTCCTCCTCTGCTGCTGCTGCAGCGCCCCCCTGGCCCTTTTGGGCCACTATGAAGTCCGCGAGCTTGTCTATGAGGCTGCTGCTGCTGCTGCCCCCCCACGACTGCAGCAGCTGCTGCTCCACTCTTGCTGCTGCTTCTGTCTCTTCAAAAAGAGACAAAAAAGAAAAGTCCAAAGGAGACAGTCTTGGCCCGAAGAAGCTGCTGACGTCTCCGCTGGGTTTGCTGCTGAGGCCCGCCGGCAGCAGGCTCTTGCTGCTGCCCCTGCTGCCGCTGCTGCTGCTGCTGCTGCTGCTGCTGCTGCCCAGGTAGGTGCTGGCTGCTGCTGCTTCCAGCTGCTGCCGCCGCAGCCTCGTGCTGCAGTAAAATGGATCTTGCTGCGGCAGCCGCGGCAAATGCACAACTCCAACAGCAACAAAAGGAGACAAATCGGAAGCAAAAGATCCTTCAACCAGCACCACGTGGCCTTCTCCAAACAGCCCCAAACCCACTGAGCACTGCAGCACAGCAGCAGCAGCAGCAGCAGCAGCAGCAGCAGCGCAGCAGCAGCAGCAGCAGGTGGGGCGCAGAAGCAGACGCCGCGCAGGGGCGGCGGCACCGCAGCAGCAGCAACAGTAGCAGCAAACACACACTGCAGCACACACTGGGACAGCAGCAGGAGCAGCAGGAGCAGCAGCAGCGCAGCAACAGCAGTGCAGCAGCAGCAGCAGCAGTAGGGGAGTGCTGCTGGCTGTTAGTGAGCTCTTGACAGTAAATGATAAAATGCAGAATTAATTATTGTGCAAAACTCCTCTAACAGCCGAAACACACGCTTGCTGCTGCAGCTGCTGCAGCTGCTGCAGCTGCTGCAGGTGCTGCAGTTGCTGCCGAGCTGCTGCAGCTGCTGCAGCTGCTGCTGCAGCTGCTGCAGGTGCTGCCCAGCTGCTGCAGGTGCTGCCCAGCTGCTGCTGCCGCAGCTGCTGCAGCTGCTGCAGTTGCTCGCCAGCTGCTGCCGCCGCAGCTGCTGCTGCTGCTGCTGCTGCTGCTGCTGCTGCTGCTGCTGCTGCTGGTGGCTGCATTGAGGGAAAGTGGGGCTTAAATGGTATTTATTCACCTGAGGATGTAATTTTAATTTGACTTTTGTGCAAAAACCTTCCAAGAAAAGTTCCTGGTTTGCGTCGGCCCCCAAACAGCCCAGCAAGAATTGCTGCTGGTGGAAAGCTCTGCTGCAGTGGTCCACCAGAGTGACCTGCAGCAAAAAAGAAATAATTTAATTCAGCAATTTAAAAATAATTTAAAAGAAAAAGACAAAAAAGAGCTGCCAAAGATGCAGACAGACTGCTGCTGCTGCTGCTGCTGCTGCAGCTGCAGCAGATTGCAAAAAGCTGGCGAGAAAACAATTTCAACAAGTCACAAATGCCCCAGACGAGACACAGGCAGCAGCAGCAGCTGCTGCAGCAAGACCAGCAGCAGCTGCTGCAGCAAAAGAGATGCGCGCACGAGCAGCAGCAGCAGCAAGAGCAACAACCAAAGCAGCAGCAAGAGCAAGAAAGCTCCGTAGAAGCAGCAGCAACTGCAACAGCACGAGCAGCAAACGCAGCAGAAGCCCCCGAACTGGCAAAAGCAGCAGCAAAAACAGCAGCAGCAGCAGCAGAGAGAGAGAAGCAGCAGCTGCAGCAAGAGCAGCAGCAAGAGAGGCAGCAGCATGAGCAGAAAAATCAGCAGCAGCGCCAGCAGCAGCGCCAGCAGCAGCAGCAGCAGCAGCAGCAGCAGCAGCAGCAGCAGCAGCAGCAGCAGCAGCAGCAGCAGCAGCAGC